TACTTCCTTCTCCCTCCTTCCCTCCCCCTCCTCCTGACCCTCCTGACCCTCACCCTCTCCCCCTTCCCCCTTACCTCCTCCTCACCATCCCCCTCCTCCTGTCCCTCCTCATAGGGTCATTTGGTAACCTGACCACTTCCCCAATTGCCTGGCCTCCTCTCTCTCCTTCAGCCCCTATATCCACTGCCTCACCAGGTCCTGTGTAGTTTTCCCTCCCGAATTCTCAAAGTTGTCCACCATTTCCTCACCCACATCTTCCTTCCGGTCCAGGCCACTCCTGTTCGGACACACCAACAAGCATCTAATGGCTTGTGCTGTGGCAACCTTCCCCCCCATGTGGTCGGACCCCCAGATCACAGCTAAAGTGAATGTTTAAAATCCTCCCATCTGTCAGGGATCAGCTAAAGGCCCCCACTTCCAGGGAGCACTTTTGGATTCTCTGGCCCCGGGCTTCTCCTCTTGTGGCCAGAAGCTACCTTCTTCGTTGTGTGAGTTGCCCTTCCCCAGGCCCCATCTCTGACCGACCTCAGAGGTCCAGAGAGGATGGTGCAGGCCTGGCACAGAGGGGACACCCAGGAAACGCCCACTGACCAAACAAAAGGATGAGGGGATATGCAGCAGGTAGCAGACGGATGAGGAACTGGATGGATCAATTAATGAGGTGACAGATACATGCACAGGTGGGTAGTCGAGCACAAGCATCAATAAATGGGACGGATGGACGGATGGACAGACGGACGGACGGATGGGTGGTAACCAGAAAGATGGATGGGTTAGGTGGATGGGAAATGATTCAGTGGGTTGGGTGGATGGATTAGTGGGTCGATGAAGAGACGGATGGATGGATGATGGATGGATGGATGGATGGATGGATGGATAGATTTGTGGGCAGGCAGATAAACAGATAGATGAATGAGTAGATGGATGAATGGGTGGATGGAAAAACAGATGGGATTTTGGGTGCATGGATGAATGGCTGGGATGGTGGGTGAATGATTGGGAAATGGGTGAATATATGGATGGAAAGATGGCTGGATGGGCTGGGTAGGTGAGTGGATAGGTAGATGGAAAGAAAGCAAATGGGTGGAAGGATGTGTGGAGCTGGTGGATGGGTAATGGGTTAATGAGAGGTCAAACGAGTGGTTGGATAGGGGAGTAAACAGATAAACAGACAGACGAGTATTTGGTTGAGTGGATGACTAGATGGATAGATGCACATTGCTGACCTTAATCTTACCTCTTGAATCCTATCTTCTAAGTAACGGTGCTGAGGGGGCAAGTGGCTGTCTTCAAGTCTGTGTTAGCAGCAGTTGCCATTTCCCAGGCACCAGCTGGAGAGGAATCAGTTGCTAGAAGACCCTAAAGTTAATAGGACAAAGCCAAGTTACTGTCGGTGGTTCTGCTCTCCTCACAAGTGCTCAAAAGTCTGAAATTTCTACATGAACCCACATTTCTGCTGCTTCTGTTGGGGCCCCACGGGAGGTGGAAGAGGCCTCCAGCCCACACCTCTGTTACCTCACACCTTCGCAGAATGTGAGTCTATCTATCAAACCTTTCGGAACCAAATAAGGGCAGAACAAAATGGGTCCCCAGAGAAAATAACAACTGATAATTATAGAGGGCCTACCACATGCCAGACACTGTGGTAGGTGTTTTACAGAGATCAGCTCATGTAATCCTCACAACTACCCCACAAGGTTGAAACCATTGCTGTTCTCATTCCAGAGATGCAGCTAATGTGGTAATTTTCCTAAGTTCACAGAGGAACTCAGATCCCTAACCTATGCTCCTAGCCACCACCTACAGAGCCTTCCCAGTGCCAACCACAGGATTCAAGTGTAGATGGGTAGAAGGACGGATGGAGGGATGGATGGATGGATGGATGGATGATGAATAAATGGATGAATTATGGATATGTAGGTGGGTGTGTGAGTGGATGGATGGATGGATGGATGGATGGTGGATGAATGGGTGGGTGGATTATGGGTGGGTGAGTGGGTGTATGGATGGGTGAGTAGGTAGATTATGAAGGGGTGGATGGGTGTATGGGTGGATTATGGATGGATGGATAATTAGATGAATGGCTAGTTAGATGGAGGGATAGTTGGGTTGATGGATGACTGGGTGGGTGGGTGGGTGATGGATAGATGGATGAATGGGTGGGGAGATGAGCAGGTGAATGAATGCCTGGATGGATGAAGTGGTTGGGTGAGTGGGATAGATGAACAGACAGGTGAGTGAATGGGTGGATAAATGGCTACATGGATGGGTACACATCAGTAACTTGTCAGAGACTTGTATTAGGCATATACACATATCCTACGTGGTCCCAGCATTCCATAAGCCTCAATTTTCTCACTGTCAAAGGAGGCCCCTGCTTTTCTTTCCGGCACACCGTGTGGATCGGGGGAGAGTGTGGCGGGAAGGGGTTCTGTGAATTTCCAGAGGCAAACTGACTTGAGAGGCCCTTCTCACCTTGCCCCACCCTTTCGCGGCTGAGGCTGGCTGCAATCCACCGTCACACTGGCTTTTCTGGCTGGGATTAAGGGAACTGTGGGTGAGTCACCCCCACATCATAAGCCTCCTGGGGCAGGTGACAGCAGTGGGTTTAGAGGCTCACAGGCCTGGGTTCAAGTCGCAGCTCTGCCCATCACAAGCTGTGTGACCTTGGGTGACTCACTTCCCCCTTCTGGGCCTCTGCTCACTCCATAAGGGAATGTCTTGCTTGTCCCTCTTCGCCTTCCAGGCTTTCACCTCAAGACTTCCAGTCCTCAGCACCCTGCTTTCTTGTCCCTCATCATTCCCTGAGCAGCTGCCATGGGTCTGCAGGGTGCCTCCTTTAGCCCTTACACTCTCAAAACTGATGGGGAAATTGAGGCTCACGGAGAGTCCATCATAGACCATATCACACAGCTGGGAGACGCCATGGCAAGGACTTGTGTCCAAGTCCCTGATCTTATGTCCTTCCCCTTGAAGGGGCCTACACTTTGTCTGGCCCTGAGTGTTCAGCTCTTGGCTTCAGTTATTCCAAGCTTCACAGCCCCACCTTGAGGGAGAGATAGTTCTCCCAGCTGGACAGACTGGGAAATTGGGGCTGGGAGAGGCCAAGTCACTTGCTCCGGGGTCACCTGGAACTGGAACTCTGCAAGAGGAGATGTCACAGGGCAATGGGAGCCAAAGTTTAGGGAGAAGGGTGCGAGACAGCCTGCCCCTCCCCGCTTCCTGTTGGTCACTTGGCCTGCCCCAGGCTCTCTCAACCTTGTTCCGGGTGCCCTAGTTCCTGGAAGGGGCTTTCTTCAGACCCACAAACCCACACACATTTTTTCTCACAAATGGGCAAAATTAGCTCCATTCTAAGGGTAACTGAGGCTCAGAGCAGAGAAGCGACTCTCCCAAGGTCAGAAAGCCACCGAATGAGAGGCAGCTTGGAGACAAGAACCCAGGTCTCTGGACACCCTGTCCAGTGGTCCCCCGGCCACCCTGTGGTGGCCGCAGCAGCCCAAGATGTGAACTCAAAACTTCTGAAGTCCCCCAAATGCTTCTGCGGGTCACGGTCACAGTCCTAGATGGGACGGGCTGGGTGGGGGGGCATGGCTTGCACATAGCCCTGGAGCGGCCCGAGCCCACACAGGCCAGACCGGCCCTCAGTCTCCCAGCAAGTGAAGGCAGCACCTGGATGGACACTGAGGCTCCCCTACTCCTCCCCGTCAGTGCCAACCTGTCAGCCGACACTGGGCTGACATCGCCAGGGACGTGGTGCAAGTCACTTCCCCTTCCTGAGGCCCAGCTTCCTCCTCCACAAAATGGGCTGATGACGCCTGCCCAGCGGATGTGCCTTGCAATTCAGTGTGGCGAGGGAGGTATGCTCTGGGCACGGGGCCTGGGACAGCAGGGCTCTGGGAGGAGGCAGCTGTCACCAACGTGCACAACAGTCCTCCCGGGCGGGGTGCGGCCGAGGGGGCCGGTGATCCCCGATTCCCTAATTCAAGCCTGGCTGACCCCAGCTCATGAAGGACCCTTTCTGGGCCTCAGCCTCCTCATTTGCAAAACAGGTAGACCCCGCCTATCTCAGGAGACTGTGGAAGGAGTAAACTGAGGCCCTGTCCCGGTGCAGACCCACGACAAGTGCCGAGTCCCTTCCGTGTTCTCCGAGAGCGGGTTTCCGGCTCTGACCGGCACCGGCAGCTGACAGCGGAAGTGGGGACTCCCCACAGGACTGAAAGGTGGCATATGTATCCCTGACCCTCCCACACAGCCCCGCGTGATCCTCTCCGAGTGCATCCCAACAGGCAACAAAGCAGGAGAGCCATGACCTTGCACAGACAGAATCCTGGCTGCCTCCTTCCCCTGTGCCTGGACGGTGCTGGCTGGCATGCAACCCTCAGGCCCCTCGTGTTCCACAGCCCATGACAGGGGCTGGACACATCGATCCCAGGGACAGGCTGCGCCAAGTGGCCAGGAGAAGCGGGCATCTGCCTTCTGAGCCCCAAGGTGAAGCCAGGGCAGGAGGTTCTGGCCCCCAGGATGGACGGCGGGTCATGCCAGACACTAAGGAATGTTTCTGAGGGTATTTTTATCTTGAGAACATCCTTCTACAGGGGGGTGGGGCCAGGAGGGAGACAGGGTGTCCTTGGCCCCAGGCCCCTGGGAGCAGCAGAGGACAGAGGCCCCTGGGAACCCTCCACTAGAGTGGCCATTACAGACACTGTGCCATCCCCAAGCTTCACTGAGTCCCAGGAGCAGATGACACCTAGAGGGTCTTGGGGGTTTCACGGGCTTGCTGCTCCGCTCCGACTCACTGTGCGACCTGGGGCAGGTCTCTGTCCCTCTCTGGGCCTCCCTCTTGCAGTCAACCTTTCCTGAGGGCCTGCTCCTGCCAGGCTCAGCTGGGCACCAGTGACTTGGATGGACCAGCAAATAAATGCCTGTCTGCATGGGGCACCCTGCCAAGCAAGGGAGATAGTGAGTTTACCAGCAATCACAACAAGGCTGGATCAGAGCCACGGTCAGAGCCCTCGGAGCCCAGGGGAGATGTCTAACCCGGTCAGGGTGCAGGGGGACTTCCTGGAGGGAGCAGCAGGAGGAAGCCCAGCCCAAGACTGGCCACAGTGCAGTGAGGGGCACTGACAGCCTCACGAATCAGGGTCCCCACCTGGCTCTGCTCCTCACACACCGAGCCTTGGGCAAGGCTCTCCCCACCTCGGAGCCTCCCTGTTCCTATCCCAGGGGCTGGCCCTTCCAAGCCCAACATTCCAGAATCCTAAGGGATCTGGGGCCGAGGAGGGTGTAGAGCGACAAGCGGGGACATACTTTATCACTCTAATAACAGGGAAGTGCCTGCATGTACAGGTGCTGGGGCCAAGGCATTACATTAACAGATGGAGAAACCAAGAACCTGAGAGGCGCCAGATAACATATTAAGGAGCTTGGACTTGATCCTAAGGGCTATGAGATGTCAGAAGGAAATCTGAAAGTATGAGCCCTGGGGCAATATGACCTGGGTTCAAGTCCCATCTCTGTCCCTTCCTCTGTGTCCTTAGGCAAGTCACATCATCTCTCTGAGCCCATCTTCTCATCTGTAAAATGGGATTAATAATGGTATCTATCTCGTGGGGTTTCAGCAAGTTAATACGTGGAGGTTGCCTAGCCGGAAATTTCCTGGTCCCCCACCCGTTCCCATCATCATATATCTGAGGCCCTGATTCACTCTAGAAGAGGGGCATAGGCCCCTGGAGGGCCTGGACTGGACCTGACTCCAAGTAGGAAGGAATGAACAGATGGGAAGAGTGGGAAGGAACTCCAGCAAGAGGAATACAGTGAGCAAAGGCACCATGGCCTCTATATTTCTTACAGCTGTAATGCTTCAAGCTTCAACTTAATTGGAGTCTCAGACATTTCCTAAGCAACCAGCATGTGCACAGGAGAGCAAAGACCTGAAATAAAGTTACAAGAAACAACCTGAGACAAGGAAGACCGTGAAAGAAAAGATAGGAAAATTTACCAACATAAAAATATTTATGATGTTGTTGATCACAGTCCATCATAAGCAAAAAAGGTAAATGAAAATGTTATAGAAAGGACTGGAGTGCTTAAATATATAAAGAGTTCTTATGAATCAACAACAGAAAAAGACAGAGTAGAAATGAACCCAGTGCTAGAGCTGGGCTCCCCACTGAGTATCATGTGATCCCCAGCAAGTGATGACTCAGGAATGTCCACACCTCAGAGCCCAGCATGAGATGGCCCCTGACAGTGGAATGCCTTGCTCTGCCTTCCAGAACTCAACGCATTCTTCAGGCTCAAAG